CCGATTGGGCAACGGAGTGATCCGCGATCGTCATCCTACCCAGGGGCGAGCGACGGTCCTGGGGCTCGATGGATTGTGTCACCCAAAGTGGTCCAACCCTGGATGAGCCCTGCAAGCCCGTCTTCAGTGGTCGAAGCCTGTACCACTGGCGGACACGTGCGTTACGGGTAGAGATGACTTTTGGTCCTTCTGGACTTCTGAAGTAGGAGGGGGAGGAGAACGATGCAGAACACAGCCGCTCTCGAGTCAATATGCTGGCTCTGACACTTCCCTTTGCGGTTATGGATTGACTCAATTCGTACGCCGCACTAACGCTCTCGACCAGCTCCAGCCGTAAATGAACGCCTGTTGTAGATGCCAATCCGTCTCTATTGCTTCGCCAAAAGACAAAGTTGGACCAATATCCTTCTCAACACCTCGGTTCTCAACTTATCAGCTTATGTGGAGAGCATACGGTGGTTCCCCAAGCCTTTAGGCGGGAAATCATCTCCGAGTGAAACGAGTCTAGATCTTGGGGGCCAGTTCGGGGACGACTGAACTTTTCGATGGGGGGTTTACCCTTTTAGCGCACCGCACCGCTGACCGCTGCACGTTTAATCATTTCGAAACCAGGGCCGCCAGTTCTGGCGCCTGGGCCATGCATGGTCCATGGATGATGGCGCCAACCGTCAACGAGCGAAGGGGAGAACGGGCTGCGGCAGGATAGAAAAGTCTTGGCCATATCGTGCCGCTTTAAAAAGAAATAAGGCCAATATTTTCAACCATGCATCTGGCGGCAAGTGAGGATATCGTACGTCATACCTGGTAGTGAAGTCCCAAGTTGTAAAAGTCTGAGAGCGATTTCTTTGATCGTCTCGCATAATTGTGGTATTGCCTGAGATTACTCCAAGACTAATGACACTTTGTAAACTACCTAACCATAACTCTGGTGTTCGTGGTACGCTATCTAGGGCTTTATCGGATTCGCCTCAGACACTCAGCCCAGAATCGTTGATCAGCAATAACTCTCTAGCAAGTTGACAATGCTTTCGATCCAATTGTCATTGAATTGAGCCAGAATATGAGGGGACGTCATTTCGTGAACGGCAGATGCAGCAACGGCACTATTTTGCCGGTTTAAAGACGGTGTGCATCAGTCAAAAATTAAGCTTGATGCCATCTCTGATTTAAGGTAGCCTATGGTCCTAGGCTATTCTTGACGACACATATTGGCCCACTCGACTGAAGAAATCTTCTGGAACCTGTGGATTCCCTATCAAGGTATCTCAACTTCATCTCGTACTCGTGCCGAATATCCGAGTACCATCTTTCTACCCCCTCCATTCCCAAAGTCCTTTCCTCAGCTTTTGCACCCGGCAATTCTTTTGAAAGCTGCGTGTTTTCTTTTACAAGAAGCTCACCTTTGTGAGAGCAGATTTTCATGATAAGGCACTCGATAAGGGTATGATTCTTTTCTGGCCCGATGCGGGGCAACATTGTGAGCATCCACGGCTTGGCTATAAACCTCTCTTGTTGGATTCCAAAGCCGCGGTCTTCAAACCTCTCGTCTAAACTTCTTGCGCTGATCAAAGACCTGATGGCGTTCAGTGCGACGCTCAGGAGACGACTGGAGGTTGAACCGTTGGAGAGCAAAGTCCCAGCGACTCGCGATGGTGTTCGATCTTGACCAGGTAAAAGTTCAGCAATGGTCTTGCCAACTGCTGAATGTGTGTTATGAAACACGAATCAGGGCCATCATCCCTGAATTCGGCAAGATAGCCATCTTTTACCGCTGGTCTGTGATGGTCATGACCTGGGGTAGTGGTGCAGGCGCATTTCTCATCTCAACCGCAACGCGGGTGTCGTGTATGCGTCGGTCAAACATCTTAAATTCGAAGACGCCCTCGAGCTCACGCCGAATATTGGCCAACTGCTCGTGCGCCTTGAGGATCTCATCGGGCTTGTTGTCTTGATGAACATGAACCTTAATCAGAAACATCCATCGCTGCCCGGGATCCGCTGGTGACATGGTGTCCCATGTAGCTGTTTGAGTGAGAGGGCCATTGTCGCCGTTCATCTGGAGAATGTAGTGTCTTGAGAGGCAGAATTCTACATCTTCTCGGAAGAACTGATAGGTTTCCTCAATAGCCTCGCTTTTGAACCTGCATATCGTCAGATCACTATCGTCAACAACGGGTGACCAAAACTGACTGGTAGTTGTTGTCTTTCATCACAGACAACAAGTTCCGCTGGTCCCAAATCTCAGTCTTCTTGCGCTGAGTAACCGAGGAGCGGACCTGGGGAGGATCAGGGAAATCGGTCCACCGGAGGGTGCCGGCACGCGCATTGAAGTCCACTTCCGGAGCGGTCGGGCCGAAGTCCTTATCCTTGAAGACCTCATATCGGGCCTGAAGGATGTAAGATTGACGGCTCAGTTGCTGATGCAGGTCTTTCCACAGCATCTGAATGTCCTTGCGCGGCGTTTTGACGATCGAATTCTGGTTCGAGATTCCGCCGGGTTTGCCTGGGCCCTTGAAATAAAGGACGCGATGGAGACTCTGCCATGCGGGCATGGCGCAGAGACCGCCGAGGACGGAGCATGCCGCCTGAATATCATCGTCGTCGACGAGCGTCGTGAGAAAGAGCTCGTACATTTCGATTGACGACAGTGGCGATGGTGACGGCAGATTTCGGGAAGAACTCGGATAGTGAGGCGTGGGGGGGTGAGAGTGAGAGAGAGATTCATGAAAAGCGTCTCAGTGAGGTGAGTGTGAAGGTCCCGTGAAATCGCTCTACCGATACGTACCTGCCGCGAATCTTGGGTCACGTGTTAGCCCGTCACTCAGGCGCGTTGGCGTCGTCGCGCTTTCTGCCGGTAAAGTGGCCAAGCCCCACCAAAGCTCGCTGCTTCCTCCCAAGCTCTGAGCTGCGATTATCGACATGCAAACGTCGCTCTGGAGAGTCAACAGCAGAATACTGTGCTCACTGATTAGCAAACGAACGATTCACTTCACTTGGATCATGTCGACCTCAAGTTCGTCTACCACGAAGCGGAAGCAAAGAGAATCAATTTCTCCACCGGCGGTCAAACGGAAGGTTCAGAGCGGCACAACGAGTAAACTCTTCTATGCCTACATCATCGTCCACCATTGACTTTTGGCCTTTTATAGAAAACGCAGTTGCCAACTTCTTCAAGCCTACTTCTCAAAAGCCAAAGGACCGCACAATATGGACCGAACGCGCACCGAACGACGACACCCCTGCGACACTACTCGTTGGCCGCTACGAACCAGAGGAGCCCTCGACCGAGTCGGAAAAGAGGAGGAAGGTAGCTGCCTTTGACCTGGTATGACAGCTATGCAGCTTCAAATAATCCAAACCATTTCAATTGACGACTAGCCGCCCAGGATTCGACCCTAATAACAACTGCTTCGGGCAAGAAACATGCCGACGCCGCCGAAGACTGGAAGTGGTGGCATGCTTCTGTTCCTGGTAAGCTGCGGGACATGTACAACCACGAAGGGTATACTACCAGCACTTGGCTCTCAGAGTGATAGACATCAGCTAATCTTGATAGATACCGTATTGTGGTGCTGTCCAATCAAGCCGGTATTGTTCTCCACGCCGACCCAAAAGCAAGAACGCCGAAATCGACAAAAGACCGAGCCTCGGCGTTCAAGCAAAAGGTCAATGCCGTCTTGACACTGCTCAATATCCCGACCACGATTTACGCAGCCACAGAGAAAGACATATACAGAAAACCGAGGCCGGGGATGTGGAAGGAACTTTGCGCTGATTATGACCTTACGGAAGACGTTGACCTGGAGGAGAGCATCTTCGTTGGTGACGCCGGTGGTCGCATTGCGGCATCGAAATTCTCCAAAGACTTCAGCTGCTCCGACCGAAATCTTGCCCATAACATTGGGATCACATACAAAACCCCAGAAGAGTTCTTCCTCGACGAGAAGCCTCGGGACTTTGTCCGAGAATTCGACATCGTCCATTTCCCGTACCCGAAGGACCCCAATTCAGAGACATCAAGTGCCCTCTTTGAGAAGAAGAACAAGCAGGACATTGTCCTCTCCTGCGGCCCGCCAGGTGCTGGGAAAAGTACATTCTTCTGGAAGTACCTCAAACCGTTAGGTTATGAGCGCATCAACCAAGACACTTTGAAGACGTCAGTTCAGCTCAACATGATCAAGCCCTGCAAATACTAATGTATCGGCAGTAGAGACAAGTGCGTGCAAGCCGCCAAAGAGCTACTTAGTGGGGGCCAATCAATAGCAATAGGTCAGCTCTCGCACGAGTCCTTTAGCCATTCCAGGCACTAATTCAGTACAGACAACACGAATGCTGATCCCGATACGAGAGCTATCTGGGTCCAGCTTGCAGCGAAACACGACCTTCCAATCAGATGTGTTTGGTTCAAGACGCCACTTCATATTTGCGAACACAACGATGCCGTACGATCCATGAATGAATCCGTAAGTCCAACTTAAACTGCAAATACATGACTGTAGCTCATGCAGGGCAGCTTAACCCCGAGTCACGAACCGCACTGCCTAGGATGGCCTTCAACGGATTCAAATCCCGCTTCAAGGAACCAAAAGTGAAGGAGGGTTTCCAAGACATTACCGAACTCGAATTCGCCTTCAGAGGAACTAAGGAAGAGCACGAAGTGTGGGCCAAATACTGGCTTTGATGTCTCAGATCTGTTCCAAAACATTTCCAGCCAACGCGAATGTGCCAGCGGCTCGAGTCGATGAAACTCTGACGCAAGTCCGGCGCAAGTCCCAGCCGACGCCACGAATGTCCACCATACTTCACGACGATGTCTGACTTCGACAACGCCTTACGCCAGTACATTCGAGAATAGAGAGCAAGCTGCCATGGTCAAAGACGGTGCATAAACTCAACGTCTCGGTCGCCTGTCCGCTGCTTCCTCGTATCTAGCCCGGTCCCGGCCAGAATAACCTGCTTCTCTTTGTCTAGGCGTCTGAGGAATAGCCAATGAATGACGATCAGATACTCGGTGACAAATATGGCACCAAGCGAGAAACTTTTACAAGAAGATACGGTGAACTTCTGTATATCTGATCTGCCACAGCACCGGCAGTATTGCCGACTGTCTGTTGCATCTCAATGGCCGTGGCGCGCCGATATTGTGGTGCTGTATTGACGTTGAGCCATGCCAGGTTCAGCCCTGTGCCGTTGTACACTGCGATAGTGCAGACGAAGCAGGCAAAATATTTGACAGCACTGTTACTGACACCAATCAGTATTGCATAGCCTACTGCGCCTATAAGATTGGTAGCGAAGAGGAAGTGGAATCATCAGCTACTCTACTATGATGTTGGCTGAATGCAGGTCAACTCACCATGCCTGGTGCCGCATGTCCATGATGACTCGCTCCTCATCACTGAGGAAGTATGCTTTGCGGACATCGCTAGGCAATTCGAACCATACAGCAAAGGCGCATGTGATACCAAACGCCCCCTTGATCAGACACATCCATCTCCAGCCAGCGTATGCACCAACGCCGTCCATTTGTAATAACCCGTATGCCAACAGGCCACCAAAGGCACCGGATAATGCCATGCACGAGACGAGGTAGGACGTGCGCTTCTTGATCTCATCTCGTTCATATACCATAGTTAGGTATATGTTGAGAGAAGGGAATAGACTGCCTTCGCAGACGCCGAGGACCAAACGACAGGCGCACAGGCCGCCGACATTCCGAATTAGACCACTGGCTACTGTCGTGACGGACCAGATTACGCAAAGTACTGTGAGAACGAAGCGGGGTTCAAAGCGTTTGACGAGGAGTACAGCTGGGACCTCGACGGGCACGTAAGTTACGAAGAGGGATACGGCTGGGGGGTATTGCTGGTTTGTAGCGCCGATTTCTTCGGGCATACCGGCGACTTTGACGTTTCCTGCATCGTGGTTAGGATTTTGATCGTAATTAAGAAGTGGATGACAGGAACAAAGCTTCCGGTACAGTGATGGAGACTCTCAAAGGAACCTATGCAATACCTACCGATGTTGGCTCTATCGATGAAGCATGAGAGATAGACGATGAAGAGTACGGGCGTGATATATAGGTCCAGCTTTCTCACGACTTTGGCTTCTTTGGCACGATCGATATGGAGATTGGTTGAATGAGCAACGCTGATACCATGGTTGTTGACATCGTGGCTGCTGCTGTTCTTGGTTTCTTCTAAGATTTGGGTCTCGGGCATTTCGAAAGAGTACAGTATTGTATCGCTCAGGTGTGAACTAATGTTTCTCAAGATAGGTTGAGAGAGAATTTGACTAAAGTATAACCGAAGACATGTGCAGAGTCTACGCAGACTATGTCATATCATGCCCATCTACAGATTATGGGTTCATTTGATCTTTAGCAACTCAGTAACAACTTCCCAATCGATCTCAAGGATGATGTAAAGATCAGATAAGTTGCTCGCAGCCTCGTTCCGCATTTCGGTACAGAGTCAGGAAAATCCACGGTTGTGACATGAATATTAAATGCTTGAAATCATGTCGCCTTGGCTATCCGGATCCATCCTCGTCAACCAAGGACTACCGGCGACTGTAAAGCGCGATAGGCAAATGAAGTGCGGTAATGATCGGGTTGAAGCGGGTTGGCAACCCGACTTGACGTTCGGTTTTAACACACGGCGCGGGTCGCGAAACCGTCTTCATCAATGGGTAAACTCCGGTCGGTTCGAGAGCCAGCTGCATGACATCCAGTCAGAGGGAGTTTTCAAGCCTTTGCAGGTGGCCGCATCCTAGTACCCGGGGCTAGGCTTCACATCTGTGGTTCTCTTGCAAAGGCAATACCCTCTATTAGACTACTCTACTCTGTTATATTCCCTGTTATCCCGCAAAAAGATATCATTTCGCTATCACGATAGATGCTACCTCATGGACAAAAACAAAGACAGGGGTGATAGCAGGCTAACTGGTTCAGTGCCATGCCATGAGCTCAGCCAGCCATCAAGTTGGAAACGCGTCACAGTCCTTGATCAGATGTACTTCATCGAGCTCAGGAATAAAGATTCTCAGGTTCATGAGGCGATAGTTATCTCGGGCCAGCAAGCCGAGTCGTTGATACCCCAGGTTGTCACACCTAGCCCCAACACCTAGCCCCACTTCGGAGGAGGTTTCGGAGGCTTCGGGGTTCGCCTCCGGTGCCGAGGCCGGGAATGCGGCAGCCCTGATAAGCTGCGTGTTGGAGATCGGATGGTGCGATTCGGGGAACAATGCGGGGGATATGCAAACTGATGATTAGATCGGGGACGGACTCCTAAGTAGGAGAGATGCAAAATGCTTTATAACTTCATTGATCTCAAGCGTCCAAGTGTCTAGCTCAATTGGCTCAGCGTTTACCGATCCGATATACCCCAACGATTCTATCTTTGAATCACCTGCATTTCATCGCTGTTCACAATGGGCTCGCTTGGGCCAAGTAGAAAGAGAATTAGAATCGCGATAGGTAAGTTGAGGGCTTCAGTAGGCAGACTTTCGGCTAGTGTCCTGACAGTCTTTTGCTTACAAAATATCACCAGATCGCGGCGGCACTTTCACCGATGTGCACGCTTATATACCCGGCTCTGATGAACCAGAGATGGTATTCAAACTCCTTTCAGTAGACCCAAGAAACTACAAAGATGCACCGACCGAAGGTATACGACGCGTCCTGGCGCATTACAGAGGCGCACCAGTATCCCGCGATGAGCCCCTCGATATCTCCGACGTCGAATCAGTTCGAATGGGAACGACTGTGGCGACGAACGCCCTGCTAGAACGACAGGGCGAGCGCGTAGCGTTCCTGACTACCAAAGGCTTCCGGGATATGCTCGTCATTGGCAACCAGGCCCGGCCGCACATCTTTGATTTGAGTATCCACAAGTTGCAGAATCTGTACGAGAAAGTTGTCGAGGTTGAAGAGCGTGTGACGATGGAGGAGTTCTTGGAGAATCCGGAGAAACAGCCTATTGACGTTGAAAGCGATCAGGAGCTTGTGAAGGGATTGACGGGCGAGCCGGTTCGAGTCCTCAAGAAGCCTGATCTGGGGGTCGTAGCAAGCCAGTTGAGGGATCTGAAGGCTGAGGGCTTTAAGAGTGTTGCGATTTGCTTCATTCACTCCTATCTCTACCCCGATCACGAGAATGAGGTAGCGGAACTAGCGCGATCTATGGGCTTCGATGTTTCCGTGTCTTCTGAACTGCAGCCAACAGTAAGATCAACCTCCCTCCTCTCATGTACTGCTTCACAGGCTCACATCCGTCTAGATGAAGATGGTATCCCGAGGAAACTCAGCAAACGCCGACGCGTACCTCTCCCCCCTCATCCGCCGATACGTCCGCGACTTTGGCAGTGGCTTCAAAGGCGGCCTAGACGCCATCGCGAGCAAGCTCCTCTTCATGCAAAGCGACGGCGGACTCTGTCTCTGGCAGAACTTTTCTGGGCTACGCGCAATCCTTTCCGGTCCCGCTGGTGGTGTCATCGGCTTCGGCAAGTCCTGCTATGACCCTGAGACCAAGATGCCGGTGATTGGCTTCGATATGGGCGGCACTTCGACGGACGTCAGTCGCTTTTCGGGCACGTATGATCATGTATTCGAAACGGAGACGGCTGAGGTCACGTTGCAGACACCACAGTTGGATATCAACACTGTTGCTGCTGGTGGCGGCTCGATTCTGCATTGGAAGAATGGACTGTTCGCGATTGGGCCGGACGTGAGTTACCACAGCATATTAGTAGCTCTTCGGTGCCGTGAACTGACATCAACTTATAGTCTGCCGGCGCTCATCCAGGACCTGTATGCTACCGCAAAGGCGGACCTCTCACAGTCACCGACGCAAATCTCTTCCTTGGTCGTCTACGTCCCGAATACTTCCCTTCCATCTTCGGACCAAAGGAAAATGAACCCCTCGACTACGGCGCAGCAGCCGCAGCTTTTCACACTCTGACCGAGAAGATCAACTCCGAAGAGGGGAAGTCATTTACCCCGGAAGAGGTCGCTAGCGGCTTCCTTCGCGTCGCCAACGAGAGCATGAGCAGACCCATACGCTCGCTCACCGAAGGTAGAGGCATCCGCACATCAGACCATGTCCTAGCTACATTCGGGGGCGCCGGCGGGCAACATGCGTGTGACGTCGCTGAAGCGTTGGGCGTGGAGCGCGTCGTCATACATCGGTTGTCATCCATCTTATCGGCGTACGGCATGGCGCTGGCTGATTTGACGCATGAGATTCAGCGTCCCAAGGCGGCTGAGCTTTCTGACCTCTCTGATAAACAGCTGACAGAGGAGTTCAAGGTTTTGATGGATGAAGCTACAGCGACTTTGGTCGCTCAGGGTTTCTCAGATGAACAGATCGAGCACGAGCTGTTCCTCAACCTGCGATACAAAGGTACCAATAGCTCGCTCATGATTCGAAAGCCTGAGGGGTCGTGGAATTTCACTCGTCAATTTGTCGAGCACCACGAAGAGGAGTTCGGCTTCGTTCTGAACCGCGACATCCTTGTCGAAGACATTCGCGTCCGTGCGTTGGGCAAGACGCCTGATTCCAACGTGACCAGCGTATCGCAAGCTCTGAAGTCTGTTGAGACTAGGCTAGTAGAGAGCAGCAAGAAGGCTAGCACTACGAAGTTGTACACAAGCGGCAAGTGGCATGAGGTCGACCTCTTCAAGCTCGAAGATCTTGCGCCGGGTGAGCGGGTCGTTGGTCCGGCAATCATCCTGGACCAGACTCAGACCCTCATGATTCAGCCGTCTTGGATTGCAACTGTGCTTCCTCGTCACCTGCTTCTCGACAAGGAATCGACTTCACTAGGCTCCGTCAGTGGAGCCGTCGAACTTTCAGCAGAGACAGATGAGGTCGATCCTATCCAGCTATCAGTATTTGGTCACCGGTTCATGAGCATAGCGGAACAGATGGGCAGGTCACTGCAAATGACTTCGGTCTCCGTCAACATCAAAGAGAGGCTGGACTACTCTTGTGCCATTTTCTCACCTACAGGTGGTCTAGTAGCCAACGCGCCGCACATCCCGTGTCACCTAGGCGCCATGAGTTATGCGGTGGCCTACCAGGCCGAGCGCTGGGGTAACTCCCTTCGCCCAGGAGATGTGCTGGTCTCCAATCACCCGGCCGCCGGTGGATCCCATCTCCCCGACGTGACGGTAATCTCACCAGTGATTGACGAAGACACCAACGAAGTCCTCTTTTGGACAGCTTCTCGGGCTCATCATGCCGACATTGGCGGTATCTCGGCTGGCTCCATGCCGCCGCATTCCAAGGAGATATGGCAGGAGGGAGCTTCCTTCCTATCCTTCAAGCTGGTCGACGGGGGCAGATTCGACGAGGACGGTCTTGCTGAGATCATGCTGAAAAAGCCGGCTTCGTACCCTGGTTCTTCTGGGACAAGGACGTGGAACGATAACGTGAGCGATCTGAAGGCGCAGATAGCTGCGAATCAGAAGGGCATCAGGCTCATTCAAGATTCGATCAAGGAGTATGGTCTACCGACGGTTCAGGTAAGTGCAGTCTATCTAGGCAATATACCCGTGATCGGAGCAGCGAACAATTGACAGTCAACAACAGAAATACATGCTCGGAATCCAGAACAACGCCGAGAAGGTAGTCCGAAACCTTCTCCGCCAAGTTCACGATCAGTTCGATGGTCTCCCACTCGAGGCTGAGGACCAGATGGACGATGGTTCTAAGCTCAAGCTCAAGATTCGCATCAATCGCGAAGAGGGCTCTGCTGTTTTTGATTTCACAGGGACGAGTCGGGAGATGTACGGCAACCTCAACGCACCCCGCGCCATCACCTTCAGCGCCATCATCTATGTTTTGCGTTCGCTGGTCAAGGAGGATATCCCGTTGAATCAGGGTTGCTTGGCTCCCATCAACGTCATCATACCCTCTGGGACGATTATATCTCCTTCGCTGGGTGCTGCAACAGTCGGTGGGAATGTCGAAACGTCACAGAGAGTGACGGATGTGGTGTTGAGAGCGTTCCAAGCCGCAGCGGCTAGCCAGGGAACGTGTAATAACTTGACGTTTGGGTATGGAGGTGAGGTGGTCGACGGAAAGGTAAAGCCTGGGTTCGGGTACTACGAGGTAAGTTATCGATCGTTTCTCACCCCGTCAGTCATCGTTTACTAAATCCCATCGAAACCAGACCATTGCAGGCGGCGCCGGTGCGGGACCGAGCTGGGAAGGCCAGTCCG